TTTTTCCATTAATAACCCCCAAAGATCTTCTGGAAAGCACAATTGTTGAGGTTGAGCATGCTGTTTTAAAATACTTGTCCACTTAAAGTTTGAAGTCAAATTTCTTTTTCTTTTTTGTTTGGTATGGTTTAATACGAAACAATGTTCTGAAAACAAACTTACCTGTCTCAATCATTAATTTTTCACTAGGAATTGACTTCAAAACTTCCAAATTAGCTTCAGTTTTCAGTGAACTTAAAAAAAGAAGTGTATACATATATTTATTTTAAAAGGCAGCAATTAACGAATACCTTTTTTCATATCACAACTTGTAAAGTACTACAAGACCAATCCAAAACCCCATAGCATTTTGTTTTCAGTATACTTTAGAAAGTATTTGCACACTACCATACTTCAATAATCCAGATTAAGATCTATTTTAACCCTATCTGCCTTCCGGGAATGCAATTTTCCATGCTTATTAGTTGGTTTCCAACAGCATTCCGTATCAGTCTAAGTAAAATTTAACTTTTTAAAAAAAGAATTCATCTGCTTCTGAGTAATTTGCGTAACTTAGAGGTGCTCCTAAGGCTGTTAACGTTCGTTTCCTGAATTTTCCATTTTTAGCCCAAGACAGATTCTTCACTCTACTTGAGCAGAATTATGTATCTGCACCCTTGCCATGGTTTCTTTGTAGGATGAACTCTACACCTTGAATCTGGCTTTGGCCTCAAGTCTTGCTATGGCTGCCTGAGCCTCTATCAGCCAAAACCCAGCTGACTCAAAGATCCATGAATGCAAACATAAATGCTTCCTGTAATGTGGCAGTGAGGTTTGGGATGGTGTAGCATATAATGTGATGGCAACGAATACTGCTCTTGTATTACTTTAAAAACACAATTTTTGTAACCACAAATTAGTTTTTTAGAGCAGTTTTAGGTTTACAGCAATAAAAAGTATAGAGATTCCCCAACCATATGCCCCCACTCTCAAAATTCCACACCATAAGGGTAGGTGCATTTGTCATTGATGAACCTACCTTGACACAAAATTGTCACCCAAAACCCACAGTTTACAGTTTACATTAGGGTTCACTTGGTGTCATGTGTTCTGTGGGTTTGGACAAATACGCAATTACGTCTACCATTGTATCATACTGAGTAGTTTCATGGTCTTAAAAAATCTGTGGTCTGCCTATTCATCCCTCCTTCCCTCTAACCCCTTATTTTTGAACCGTCTCCATAGTTTTGCCTTTTCCAGACTGTCACACAGTTTGAACTATACAGTACGTAGTCTTTTTCAGGGTGCCTTCTTTCACTTGAAAATACACATTAAAATCCCATGTTTTTCATGCTTGATAGTTCATTTCTTTTGGCATTGAATAATATTCCACTGGATATACCACAGTTTATCCATTCACCTACTGAGGAACATCTTGGTTGCTTCCTTATGTAGCATTTTTATTTTCAGCATTTGTTATTACAAAGCATTTAAGATATACATTAAATTAGGTAATATGGACTTCTCATATAGTTATCACCCAGCCCCATCAATCATCAACACAGGACAATCCTGTTCCATCCACTTACCCCTACTCTCTCCTGTATTATTTTAAAAGGAAATTCGAAATGTACAGTTCTAATATTTCAGCATTTAATTCAGGATGTTTCAGCATGTATCTCTGAGCATAAGGATTCTCTTTAAAAAAATGCAACCACAATACAATTATCATATTTAAGAAAAACCCAAATCTTCTAGTATTCAAATTTCCAGTCGTCTCAGAGGCATACATTCTTTTTAAGTTTGATTAAATTAGGACACAAATGAGAGGCCTACACATTGCAATTGGTCATTGTCTTCTAAAGTCTCAACCTATTAAAATCTCCTGCATCTTTTCCCCTTCACATTTATTTGTTGAAGAAACCAAGCTGTTCACCCTGTGTAGTGCCCTAGTCTTGATTTTGCTGATTTTATCTGTGTTCCAGTTTAACAGGCTCCTCTGCCCTCTGTATTTTTTTTTTTGGGGGGACGGAGTCTCACTCTGTTGCCCAGGCTGGAGTGTGTTGGCAAAATCCCAGCTCGCTGCAACATCCACCTCCTGGGTTCAAGCGATTCTCCTGCCTCAGCCTCCCGAGTAGTTGGGACTACAGGTGCCTGCCACCACGCCCGGCTCATTTTTGTATTTTTAGTAGAGAGGGGGTTTCACCATTTGGCCAGGCTGGTCTCAAACTCCTGACCTCAGGTGATCCACCCACCTCGGCCTCCCAAAGTGGTGGGATTACAGGCACGAGCCACTGCACCTAGCCTGCCCTCTGTATTTCTTATAGGAGATCTAAAGTACCATCTACAGGCTGGATAAGATTTGGGTTGGATGTTTTTGGGGGAAGACCATTTCATAGGTGGTGGTGTGATCTTTCATCTACAGGCATATATCTGGTTCTATTTTTGTGATCTAAGGCAGCCATGGATGCCCAATGCATAATTCACCAGGAGCTACAAAATGTTGATATAATACTATCAGCCCTTTACTTATTAGAGTACTTCCATAAAACGAAAATTCTCTATGTCTATTACGTGATTGCTCAAATATATGTAGTTTGTACAGAAAATACGTATCTTTCTGTCAAATGTGTTTGTTGATTCCCTAACTTCTTCCATTGGTGCTATTATTTTAACATCACCATTCATTTATGTAAGGAGCTCTATTCTTTTATGTTCTTTTAGCATTCTGTTCATATTTCATGTGCGTAACATCTCAAATCCCACTATGTTGGGTCTCACTGGGGTTAGGTTTTCTATTTATCTTGGCCCTTTTCTTTCATGCTTCTGGTTCACTGCATTTGTCTGGTGGTCCTTGGATATCCATTTATATTTAGGGAGGTTGCTAGTGTTGCGTTTCCTTTGCTTTTGTGAAAGCAGGACTGTTTTACTACTAGTTCTCTTCTCTGAGTGGGGATTCTTAGTGAGACCTTCTTGTGGGAGAGGGTATATTATGAAACTACATTTAAAGGTAAGAGTATAGGGAGCTAATTGTTAGGCTCATGGTTCTCTAAATGCTTTCCTTTGTGGATTGATAATAAGCACTTCAAGCCTTAGTCCTCACCATAGTTTTTTCAATTTTCTTAAGAAAACCCCTGCCCCTGGCCCCTGTGTAAATGTTTACTGCTTTTGTCCTCTATGCACAGGAGTGGATATGGGAGTGAGATCTTTTCTCTATTTAGGCCCTCAATTGATCATCCTTTCTAGTCCTATTTCACACTAATTCTAAGCTTAAAGCCCCCCCTATTGGATTTTGTTTGCCAGACTTGCTCCCATCTCTCTGAGGCCCCTTAGTGGTGTAATCTAAGCTTTCTCTTTCAGTTTTACCCGTCTTCAGAAATCCACAGAACAGACGGAGTGGCTCACTGTCACCTGGGCTGGACTGCAATGGCGCAATCTCGATTCACTGCAACCTCTGCCTCCCGGGTTCACACAATTCTCCTGCCTCAGCCTCCCAAGTAGCTGGGATTACAGGTGCCCACTACCACACCTGGCTAATTTTTTGTATTTTTAGTAGAGACAGGGTTTCACTATGTTGGCCAGACTGGTCTCAAACTCCTGACATCGTCATCTGCCTGCCTTGGCCTCCTGAAGTGCTGGGATTACAGGCGTGAGCCACTGTGTCTGGCCTCTTCTTTTTTTTTTTTTTTTTTTTTTTTTAAATTTAAGAGATGGGGGGCTCGTTAAGTTACCCAGACTGGTTATACCTGTAGCTCTAGCTACTGAGGATGCTGTGGCAGGAGCATCACTTGAACTCCTGGGCTTACCCAGCTACAGAACATTTATCAGCAAAAAACTGGCCTTTTTTCTTTGTTATTATAGATTCTTTGCTTTTTCAATATCTATAATTTTATTTTAGTAGGATTTTAGGAGGGGTGGGTGGGATGTCATTAATTTGACATTAAGTAGCAATTGGTGCTCTCTAGAAAAAAAAAATTATTATTTTCAGCCAGCTTGGTCAATATAGATATTTTGTAAAATATATTGATGTGGTTGGTATGGATAGTATATTTAAAAGTTTTTTTTCTTTTTTTTTTTTTTTTTTAAGACAGAGTCTCGCTCTGTCGCCCAGGTTGGAGTGCAGTGGTGTGATCTCGGCTCACTGCAAGCTCTGCCTCCAGGGTTCACGCTATTCTCCTGCCTCAGCCCCCCGAGTAGCAGGGGTTACAGGCGCCCGCCACCTTGCCCGGCTAATTTTTTGTATATTTAGTACAGAGGGGGTTTCACTGTGTTAGCCAGGATGGTCTCAATCTCCTGACCTCATGATCCGCCCGCCTCGGCCTCCCAAAGTGCTGGGATTACAGGTGTGAGCCACTGCATCTGGCCTATTTAAAACTTTCACTAAATTTTTAGATTATTTGTATTTTTGATCTCACTAAATCATGTCTGATTAGCTTAATATTCTTCTACGTCTATCCTTTGACTGTAAAAATTTGCCCAAATATATATACTAATAAATATTTTAAAGAGAAGCCAGTATTTCTGTTTAATAAGGTTTCCCATTTAATGATGAGCAACTACACGATTCTGAAGTCAAGTCTGAAATACATCTTCCCATTTTCTTTTTTTTTTTGAGACAGAGTCTTGCTCTGTCGCCCAGGCTGGAGTGCAGTGGCGTGATCTCGGCTCACTGAGACCTCTGCATCCTGAGTTCAAGCGATTCTCCTGCCTCAGCCTCCCGACTAGCTGGGACTACAGGTGCCTGCCACCACCCCAACTAATTTTTGTATTTTTAGTAGAGATGGGGTTTTACCACATTGGCCAGGCTGGTCTTGAACTCCTGACCTTGTGAACCACGCACCTCAGCCTCCCAAAGTGCTGGGATTACAGGTGTGATCCACGGTGCCCGGCCATCTTCCCATTTTCTTGGGGGAAAAATTTTAATTTAACTTTTAGGAACCAAAGACTTTATGTGATATGTGGATTAAGTTATATTATGATAAGTTATCATATTAAGTTATATTAAGTTATATTATAAGTGGATTAAGTTATCACATCTCAGAGACTCAGATTAAGATGACAATGAATAGATTTCAAAATAAGAATATAAACATTCACTTTAATAAATGACTAACCTATTAATTCTGAAGCTAATATTAATGTAGGAGAAAAGAATCTTTTGTGATTAGCTTAAAGCAACATCATAATAAACTCAAGATCATTTAGAAATATCTAAGACAGGAGCCAGGTGTGGTGCCTCATGCCTGTAATCCAGGCACTTTGGGAGGCAGAGGCAGGTGGACAGCCTGAGCTCAGGAGTTTGAGACCAGCCTGGGCAACACAGTGAAACCCCATCTCAACAAAAAGTACAGACATTAGCCAACCATGGTGATAGGAGCTTGTGGTCTCAGCTATTATACTTGGGAGGATTGCTTGAGCCCAGAAGGTCGGGGCTGCAGTAAGTCGTCCAGCTTGTGAGACAGAGTGAGACCTTGGTCTCAAAAAAAAAAAAAAATCTAAGAATTAATGGTTTTAAGTTGGTGAAATAAAGATCTTCTACCCCCTTCTCTTAAAAAAAACTTACAAGGAGAAAAGCAGGATTTTTAAAAATGAAACTAGGAGACATATGTTACCCCAAATCACAACATATAAAGTAGACAGAGAAATGATAAACGACCAGTGTTTAAGTGCCAAGTGACTTAAATGTTATGTGCCTGGAGAGAAAGACAAGCAAACCCAGAAGCAGATATAGTCCCTAGAAAGTGGAGTAAGGCAGGGACTGAAATGGAGATTGTTTGAGAAAACTTCAAGAGAAGATAGATGGGATTCCTAGGTTACATATCTGTGACTTGGTGCAGAGAAAGAGGTGCTGGGTCTCAAGAGAACCTACATCAGAAACAGGTGGAGAACAACAAGCACAGAGGAGTACAGGCATCAGGCACAGGCCTAAGCATGGAGACCGGGGCAGCCCACTGAACAGGGAGACCCTCTAACCCATCCTGCTCCAAAACACTGTCAGGGACATTTATAAACCCCTTCCCTCCACTGTTCCCCACTTTTCCAGCAGAGAACACAAGATCCCTTTCTGGAGAAACTGAACCAACCCAGAAAAAGATCTCCACAAACTGATATTTGGGAATCCCTAGCAAAAAGTCAGTTGGCCATCTGAGTCTGCCAGTTGCTGGAATGCCTTCTAGAGAGCTTCCAAATGGCATTTTTTTTTAAATAGACAGTGAGGACTGCCTGACATTTGAAGAAAGTTTCCATCATCACAGAGACCAAAGGAAAGAAGAAGAGGTGACTGTGAGGAAACAAATGCAGGAAGACAAGCAGAAAGTCACTTTATAGTTCATGCCTTTCGAGAGATGAGAAGACACTGCAGTATAAGAATAGTGTTCAGAAATTGAAAAACGCTGAAGTAAATTTCATAAAAAGGGTTACAAAATATAGCACTTTTTTTGGAAGGAGGGAAACAATGGAAGTTATCAGTCTGGTATGCCCAAGAAAAGAATAGAAAAGAAAAATCAAATTCCAAGGATGGGTAAAGATGAGACCCCCACTGGAAGGGGTAATGAAAAAGCAACACTAGGCGTGATGAAAACCATCAACACACACCTCCGTGAAATTTCACATCAGAGATGAAAAACTAAAACCTTTCACAAGAGAAGAAAACTAGGTCACAGGTAAAGGATTAGGAATCAGAGTAGCAACTTTTCATCAACACTAGAACCTACTGATGGAACAGGATAAATTCTCAATGAAAATGATTTCTGATCTTGAATTTTATGCACGGAGAAACTATCAATTGAAAGTGGGGTTCTCTCCCCTTTCATTAACTATCCAGGCTAACTTGTAAGAGGAAGAGCAAAAAAAAAAAAATTCATTTTCAAACATGCAAAATCTCAAGAAACTTAATTCCTATGAAAACGTCCTCAGAGGATGTTGTAGAATGTGTTCCACTAAAACAAACACACAAGGAATACATGGGATCTAAAAATAGGAACTAGCCCAAACTGAAACAGACAGATGGAAGGGTCTGCAACTGATGGAACTATTATATCTAGACAGGTTTGCTCATGTGGTATACCGTGCTTAACATTTCTTGTACTACTTTTTGTTTTCCCGGATTAACCTCCCTCATATTTTTATTTACCTGGCTTTCTTAAACTTGAAGCCCAGCCTGGGCACATAGCAAGATCCCGTCTCAACTTAAAATGTAAAAAATAGCCGGGTGTGGTGGCACGCACCAGTAATCCCAGCTACTCAGGAGGCTGAGGTGGGAGGGTTGCTTGAGCCCGCGAGGTCAAGGCTGCAGAGTTGTGATCACACCACTGCATTCCAGCTTGGGCTACAGAGCAAGTCCCTATCTTAAAAAAAAAAAAACAAAAAACCCAAAAAACTTGAAACCCTCTCATACTTGGCAGAGCTCTGTGAAATTATATACTTCTATAGAAATAATAATGAAACATTTATAGAGACATAATAATGAAAACATTGAGTATGCGTATAACCAAAAATTCTGAAATGACGACATTGAGAGTGATATGCAGAGAATAATGGAGGTAGCGGATTAGTACGGGATATAAGAACTAACGTGCTCATATAACCCAATGAGAATAGACACAGGGGATGAATCAAGAGACAATAGTATATGGATATTATTTAGAAATATGGTGACAAATAGCAAAATTGTTGCCGCTAGAACAACTGACCTGGGGTAAGGTCATGCTGGGGGGACTCTGATATTTGTTTATATCTGTGAGTACTACTTGACTTTTTAATCACTATGCATATATTCCCTTGCATATTAATTTTAAAGTTATTTAAACCATTAAATATGAAAGCAGCTTAGACATTTAAACTCTGAACTCTAGAGCAAATACGTAATTCCATGATTCCATTTCCCTAGATTTTAGTCAAAAATAATGCAATTGGAAACACAATAACTTTAAGGGTATGAGACATTGAAGGACAGAAAGTCTTACACTATTTTGCAACTGATTAATGGGATACATTGATATCCTGTGAAAAGACATTGGTCAAAGCTCTTACATATTTGACAAAACCAACCCAGGGACCTAGCTGTGCTAGCTGAGTGTACTGAGTGTGTGAAGTTTAGTGTGATAGAACAGCAGAAAGGTCACAGAGTGAGAAGCCAGAGGACATGGGTTCTCATACTTAGAGAAACTCTATACCTGTTTCCTAATTTATTTGAGCCTCAGTTTCTTTGCCTGCAGAGATGTACGACTGTCATAGAATAACCTTTCGTCCATAGTCAGACATGACGTGTATATGTATACATGATGCTGTGAACACATTTTCAAGGGATCAAATGATCTGAGAATAAACTGGATTACTAGAGAAAGCTAGCTGCTGATCTCAACACAAAATAGTTTTCCATTATTAGGACATAATGTACTAGTCTATAACTTTTGAGCTTGAACTTGTAATCATAATGTACTGTTTAATTTCTTACATAATTACTGAAATTCCCAGCAAAGATCAGTGTAAACACACACAAACTTTAATGAAAATCGTCTTCATCAGCAATTCACTGTAAAACGATTTAAGAAATCTGCTTAAATAAAAGTTAAAAACAAAACAACCTAAGAACGTACCAACCATTAAATCCTATATAAAGATCCAAATCAATCAAAGCAGCTGCTGCTTCCTTGGTACCATCAAATGAATGCACCTGGGGACATACAGGTATAATTTTATTATTATAGTAATTACTCTTTAAAATTCTAAATAACATTAATAAGACTTTGTAGGCAAAAATATAGATCCCTGTAAGTTTTTGGACCTCAGGATTTCAAAGGTGGTAGTCCCTATAATTTTTATTTTCGTATCAGATTTCACAATTATAACCAGTCATCATCTCCAGTGACATGATGCAAAACGTTAGCTGCTGAGAATTTCTTCAGAGTAGTAGTGTTGCAGTCTCCACACTAGCATTAGTGCAGAAGCTCCAGGAGGGGGTTTAGGAATAGACATATTCTTAGGCAAAAACATGAGGAAAGCTTAGAAATTTTATGGCACCATTTAAAACACGTTTTAAAATACTGATGAATTTTCTGTTAGAGGAATTTTTTTTTTTTGAGATGGAGTTTCACTCTTGTTGCCCAGGCTGGAGTGCAATGGCGTGATCTTGGCTCACCGCAACCTCCACCTCCCTGCTTCAAGCGATTCTCCTGCCTCAGCCTCCTGAGTAGCTGGGATTACAGGCATGCGCCACCATGCCTGGCTAATTTTGTATTTTGTATTTTTTTTTTAGTAGAGAGGGGGTTTCTCCATGTTGTTCAGGCTGGTCTCGAACTCCCAACCCCAGGTGATCCACCCGCCTCGGCCTCCCAAAGTGCTGGGATTACAGGGGTGAGCCACCATGCCCGGCCAAGAATACTTTTTTCTGGAAGAGAAATTACTTTTAAGAGGCAAGGCTGGGCCAGGTGCGATGGCTCATGCCTGTAACCTCAGCACTTTGGGAGGCTGAGGCCAGTGGATCACCTGAGGTTGGGAGTTCGAGACCAGCCTGACCAATGTGGAGAAAACCCATCTCTACTAAAAATACAAAATTAGCAGGGTGTGGTGGCGCATGCCTATAATCCCAACTACTTGGGAGGCCTGAGGCAGGAGAACTGCTTGAACCCAGGAGGCGGAGGTTGTGTTGAGCTGTGATCGCATCATTACAGTCCAGTCTGGGCAACAAGAGTGAAACTCTGTCTCAAAAATAAAAAGAAAAGAGACAAGGCTGAAGAAATTCTTATAAATGGGTAAGACTGTTGCTTAAAAAGCATAAACCGTAATCCCAGCACTTTGGGAGGCCGAGGTGGGCAGATCACAAGGTCAGGAGATCGAGACCATCCTGGCCAACATGGTGAAATCCTGTCTCTACTAAAATGCAAAAAATTAACCAGGCGTGGTGGTGCGCGTCTGTAGTCCCAGCTACTTGGGAGGCTGAGGCACGGGAATCGCTTGAACCCGGGAGGTGGCGGTTGCGACGAGCTGAGATTGCGTAGAAGTGAATTCAAGGGCCGGGCACAGTGGCTTACACCTGTAATCCCAACATGTCGGGAAGCCAAGGTGGGCAGATTGCTTGAGTTTAGGAGTTCAAGATCAGCCTAGGCAACATGGTAAACTCCATCTCTACAAAATATACAAAAAAATTAGCTGAGCATGGTGGTGCATGCCTGTAGTCCCAGCTACTGGGAAGGCTGAGGATGGCTTGATCCTGGGGAAGCGGAGGTTGCAGTGAGCTGAGATTGTGCCACTCCACTTCAGCCCGGATGACAGAGCCAGATCCTTTCTCAATAACCAAAAAAACCCCCCAAAAAACCAAAAACCAAATTTCACAGGGTTTTCTTGTGAATGGAATTCTGTGCTCATTCTTGTACTTTGAACAAAGGAACTATAAATAAAACTGACTTGTGTTTATGCCACATCTGGCCCATACATTCAACAGTAAATTTACATCTTTCAAAGGATGGGAAAAGAAACTCCTAATTCTATTGAGTTCTATCTAATTCACATGTTTTTCTTTTTTTTTCCTTTTTTAAAAAAAATTTAAATGTTGACATCTGAATTAGGGGCCATCCTTAATAACCAAGATGCTTTATGTGTCACATAAATGTTAAGTATCCCTCATCCCAAGTATGTGGGACCAAAAGTGTTTCGTATTTCAGATTTTTTCAGATTTTGGAATATCTGTATATACATAAAAAGAAATCTTTGGGAAGGGACTCAAGTCTAAACATGAAATTCATTTATGTTTCATATACACCTTATACCATACCCTGAAGGTAAATAATTTAAATAATTTTGTGCATGAAACTAAATTTATGTACAATGAATAATCAGAAAGCAAAGGTGTCACTATCTCATGTCAGTGCTTAAAAAGTTTCAGATTTTGGAGTATTTTGCACTTGGGAGTATTTGGATTTTTGGATTAGAGACATTCAACCTGTATTAAAAATGACAATTTTATACTTACCACTCCCCCTACACAGCGATCTCTATTTCTTTTCATTATGTCTATAAATTAAAAACAAAGAACTTTTAGCAAATAGCTTGATTTCTACAAAATTCTTAAGTTCTAAATGAGACTTTGGTTTTAACTCACCCAAAAATTCAGCATGTGAGTTTCGACAATGAAGAAACATTGGTAATTTTGTTTGTTCTGACAGTTCAAATTGTTTTTCAAAATATCTGCATAATGCAAAAAAAAATTCTCATTACAAATTTAATTTTAGCATGAGGAAGGTAATGATGTCAAAACAGCTTTTAAGTTAAAGGTATTTAATTCTCTATAAATTACAGGACAATAATCATGAATATTTAAAGCACATCAGACTTATCAAAGGGCTTTTATAACTTACAATTTTTGGAAAGAAATACTTCATTTTCTGGGCTTACAAAATTATTTTCATAAAGTAACATCTACTGGCCCCTTGCCACTGGGAGCACCATCAGTGGAAGTCAACTCACCAAGCGAGAAGCCCGGCAGAGCTTCATACTGCATGCTAATCTATTCCATTTTGCAACCAGTGTTTTATGTGCTGTTATAAAAGAAGTTACTGCCACTAGGCAAAATGAACAAGGTTTCCCTCAAAAACCAAATCTAAGTATTTGCTAAACAGCAAATAACTCAATTATGCTATGAAAAAAAGAAAATTACACGATAAAGTGGTAGCCCTGAATATCTTAGAGTACTTGATAAGAAGCTTTTTCCAAGTACCACATACTTTTGCCTCATTTGATCCTCAGAATAACCCAAGGATAAAAGCTGGTGTCGTACTTTGTCCAACATAACAATACCTGGCATGGCCACTTGGAACCAGAACTTCAGTGCTCTCATTCCAAGTCCCAGCCTAAACGGCAAAAACCTGTCACATTTTCGAGACGCTTCCTTCTGGTCCCGGAGTATAATGACAATATTCAGAGGATATAATGAATGTTCATTCTGTTTGTTTTTTCACTTCAACACAGTGCTCCCTCTTGTTCTCACAAATGGTAGGTTCAACTGAATCAGGATAACAGGTGGCTTATTATTTTCTTAGATGTGCTTACCTCTTCTAAGTCCTTTAATTTGGGGAAACAATTTCTCTGTTTAACTTAAGCCTCTTTTGCTATATTTTCCTATATCATATTTCCTCACATGCAGGACTATTTTACCCCCTTTGCACTCTTGAAAATGCTAAATTTTAAAATTAGAAATAGAAATGTACTTCTTAAGAAGCAGTCTTCAGGCCGGGCATGGTGGCTCATACCTGTAATCCCAGCACTTTGGGAGGCCAAGGTGGGTGGATCACTCGAGGGCAGGAGTTCAAGACCAGTCTGGCCAACACGGTGAAACCGTATCTCTACTAAAAATACAAAAATTAGCCAGCGTGTTAGCACACGTCTGTAATCCCAGCTATTCCATGGGCTGAGGCACAAGAATCACTTGAACCCAGGGTCAAAGGTTGCAGTGAGCTGATGTCACACTACTTGCATTCCAGCCTGGGTGACAGAGCAGCACTCTGTCTCAAAAAAAATAAAAAAAATAAAAATAAAAAAAAATAGAAACAGTCTTCCTAAAATTGGTGGTCTATCTCTGTATTACCAAATGTTTGGGTTTTAAAATCTCCTTTTCAGATTCTGCTGGGTTAGAATAAGCAAAAATATTTTCCTTTCATTAACAAAGTGCTGAAATTTTGCAGTGTAGGAAATATTAATGACAACTTGGACAAAAAGATATTTTAATAATACAACCAGTCACTATTTCCATAACCTCTAAAGTAAACCAAATGTCAGCAATTAAGTGTGCTCTAGTCATTATGTCAACTTTACTAATATATTTGGCTTTTGGCTACACACAGCAGGCAGTCCTCTTCATTGTGTGCACTGCTCTACACTATGCTGGTTATTTTTTCCACACAAAATTTCATGGACCAAACCACATGACCAAGCTACAAATTCACAGTATCTAATGGTCGGATGGAAAATTAGCTTCCTATCTCAAGGTAGGCAAAAGTACAGTTTATGAAAATAACAGAGGCCAGCTGGATGCGTGCTCCACGCCTGTAATCCCAGCACTTTGGGAGGCTGAGGTGGGCGGATTGCTTGATCTCAGGACTTCAAGACTAACCTGGGCAACATGGTGAAACCCCATCTCTACAAAAAATACAAGAATTAGCCAGGTGTGGTGGCATGTGCCTGTAGTCCCAGTTGCTGGGAGGCTGAGGTCGGGGGATTGCTTGAGCCTGGGAGGTCAAGGCTGTGGTGAGCCATGATCACACCACTGCACTCCAGCTTGGATGACAGAGTGAGACTGTGTCTCAGAGAAGAAAATAACAGAAGCCCAAGCAGCGGGCCCACAGAATTTGACATAATTCAAGAAAAGAAAGGTCCCTGAATTCATGCTAGCTATGTATCATAAAGAAGCCATGTGGTTAAAAAAATAATAATAAATTAAAAAAATAAAAAAGTAAAAAATTATTCCGAATGATACAAAGTGAGGATAACTAGTACTAAACATCAAACAACTATTAGAGAAGAAACATCTAAACAACTTTAGAGAAGAAAAACCCACCATGGTAACTAGAAATAACAACGTAAGTTACAGGGTAGGAATTGGCGTCTGTTGAGAGACCTCTCTGCCTGTTTTACTCATTTATTATTTTTTTAAAGTTTATAAATGAAAATCATTTTCCACTTGAGTTAGATTTGCTCATCTTAGTGAAGCTTCTGATTGTATTACTGCTTCTTACAGTTGAGGTTTAACTATCTAAGGACAAGAGCTGGAAAAGTTCAGCTTCAGAGGAGCAGTTGCTATTAATTAGGATCAAGGCAAATCCAAAAAGCGCAGTGAGTTTCATGGGTATACCTCAACACAGGCAGTAATCCCTCCTCTGTAAGCTGCTTGATGGCAACGTGGCCTCAATTGCTCATCTCTAAGGTCCCCTAAACCTCCAAAGGATTGTTTTAAAATCTTCTTCTTGTAGTTTTTAAGACCTGCACAGCGTTAACATTTTAAAGCCCCAAGAAAAATGCCCAAAGCAAATTCCTCCTATCCAAGAGAACAGAGCTCTAAACTGCAACAAGGAAAGGAATGTAGCATAAGGCCAGGAAATTGAAAATACAGGGTATGGCTTAAAGGATAAACTTTCCATAACTACATCAGGCCTCTTCCTTGTTTTCACTCTTTGCTTCTCTTTCTTAGTCTTTAAAAAATCCTTTTTCCAGAAAAAGTCTAGGTACTAAAACAAGAAAAAAGTATTTTAAAAAAAACCCACAAAACCTTTAAAAAGTTCCAAACAAAAGCAATAGCTAGCATCTTCCTTTAGGGTGGTAATATTTCTAGCATGAGTAATATAACAGCCATGATTGTGCACGTACTATGTACCACTCATGTCACTATGGGCTTTATGTGCCTTATGTTAAGAAAGGTAGGCAGCAATCTACCCATTTTAAAGGGGATGCACAAAGGGACGAAGTGACATCAAGGGCAGTTGTAAATCTCACGAAAAGATCTGCTGATTCCAAAGCTCATCCTTTTAACGTCATACGCCGCCTTCACTTACCATTATTTTTCAGACACATCTATTGTATATTGATTTTTCTGTCTTGCCTCCTAATTTTCTATTTTTCTTTTCTCATACATCTCCTTTTTCCTGACTACATTTTTACTTAAAAACAAATCATGGCTGGGCGTGGTGGCTCACACCTGTAACCCTAGCACTTTGGGAGGCCGAGGCGGGCAGATCACTTGAGATCTGGAGGTTGAAACCAGCCTGGCCAACATGGTGAAACCCCATCTCTACAAAAAACACAAGAAAATTAGCTGGGCATGGTGATGGGCACCTGTAATCCCAGCTACTTGGGAGGCGGAGGCAGGAGAATCGCTTGAACTGGGAGGCGGAGGTTGCAGTGATCTTAGATCGCACTGCCTGCACTCCAGTCTGGGGGGCAGAGTGAGAATACATCTCAAAACAAAACAAAACACCCAAACCATACACCGGTTGTTCCAGATGGTAGAAAAGTGCAGACCAAAATCTGAAGTCTTCCAAAAATAAACCCAATAGTGAAAGTTGAATTATAGGCTTTTTATCCACACTGCTCAAAAGGAATAAAAAAGAACCTTCCCTTTGTATTAAATATTCAACAGACATTTACTAAGTACCTACCATGTGCTGAGAATACTGTGCTAAATGCTATGGAACTGTCCCATGAGTAAGCCTTGGTGTGTGCCTCTGAGGAACTCAAAGACACTTGTCCGTTGTGGGGAGGAAGGGATAACCTAAAACCCATTTCTGTACAACGTGGTTAAGTGCTGAAACAAACAGAGTGCTATGTACACAGAAAAGATTGCATGCTGTAAGTACACGCTAGGGGAAAAGAAGTGAGGGGCAGAGAACGTGGGTGTTTGTGTCCTTAACAACAATCAAAATGTGATTGTTACTAGAGTGTCTTTTTTTTTTTTTTTTTTTGAGATGGAGTCTTGCTCTGTTGCCCAGGCTGGAGTCCAATGACACAATCTTGGCTCACTGCAACCTCCACCTCCCCAGTTCAAGCAGTTCTGCTGCCTCAGCCTCCCGAGTAGCTGGGATTACAGGTGCTCGCTACCACGCCCGGCTAATTTTTGTTTTTAGTAGAGACAGGGTTTCACCATGTTGGCCAAGCTGGTCTTGAATTCCTGATCTCAGGTGATAGGCCTGCCTTGGCCTCCCAAAGTGCTGGAATTACAGGTATGAGCCACCATACCTGGCCATTTTTTTAACCAAGTCATTTGATGTTTTATCATTAAAGATTAAAAAATCTTCACCGCCATCTTACCAAAATTTCCTTCTACTTATTTTGTCATTAGCTTATTCACTCTGGAAGAAGCCAGTGTCACATGCTGTCACTGAAAGTCAGTCCTTCCCTCTGCTGTTCACACACTTTAGTGACAGCACTTCCAACCTACTTTAATTATTTATGTCCTCTCTTGTCTACAGTGGCATTGGGAAAAAGTCTTATTTTCCTTTGTGTCATGCTGAGGAGGCACTTGGTAATCATTTACTGAATGGAGTTTGAACTTGTCTATTAGCAATTAACACCTGGTATGTGAGTTCAAGCACAAGCTGTGATATGCATATTCTAAGATCAGACGCTATTCTGAACGTGCTCTGATGATGGTGAAGAATCTTCAGAACAGTTAAATTAAACTGATACTGTCCATGTTTTCAATTAACCCCAAAACTGAGTTTAAAGTATTCAGGTTGCATTTTAGAATCAGTTCTAACTCATTTTGGATGAAAAGTCATATAGGCAAAAAAACTTGGGGACTCTGCCATTGCCCTTGCTTGTCATAACACATAGTCTATTAGACTTACAAGGCTTATCCTGACAAAAACCAGACATTAAAGTTGAGGAATATGATCTGTGGGCTTAACCTGAAGAACCATTAAAGACAACTGTTTTTCTATTTCAGTGTGAACATGAGAACTTTTAAGGTTAAGTGAGCTGGCCTACATAATATTCGACAGAGGTATAGGGCTTTAGTAACCCTGGTAGTAACCACATGAATGTCCCTGAAAGACACAGCAAATAATATGCCACAAACTAAGCAGTTCTAAAAGGGATGTATATAATGAGCGACCTAAAAGAGACAGTACGTGTCCACAGAGCATTACTCTAACCCATCCTTTTCTACTTGGTTATAGATCTTCACACTCCAGAACTCTGGAGCTTGAGGTCTAGGGTATGACAGACTCCACTAGTAGATCTGCTCCTCCCCACAGTGATTTTCAACCAGGGGGGACATATCAGAATCCCATTTGTGGGGAGCAGGGAGGGAAGGGGGAGGAAGTACACTTTTGGCATGCGTAATCTTAAAAAATCCCTTTAGGCCATCAAGTCACTGGCTTAATCATATGATTGTATCACTATATGACAAAATTATTAATTATTAAATATTATGATGTAGCTGGATGGTATCTTAAGAGAGAATCTGATCCTAATTCTCTGTGTATAAGAAACTAAGGAGGACAGAGGACTGTTTATTCTTAAAGGTCTCTAGGGACAGATATTCTACCTTATTCAGATTTCTGCATACTCTGAGTTCTTGGCAGTGGCTGGCACACAGTGCTCCATAAATATTTGTTGAAGGGATGAATAACTAAATTAACCCCCTTTAGAAGCTCAGTCTAATGTTTTATCATGTTCATAAAGATCTTTTTGAAATTTGACAAAATGCTTACGTTTTAAATTCAGACTATGACCTAAATTTTCTTTTCAATCTTTAACACTCATTCACCAGTATGATGACAGGAGCTCCAAATTTAGCTCCAGGCAATGGGTTACAGGAAGTCCTGCAGGGTTTTGAGCTTTGGAGTTTTCTCAGAAGCCACCATTCAACATGGCTCCTATTAAAGGAATCTCACAGTTCCAAACTAACAATATTCAATGCCCAGCAAGAGTAAACTATGCTTTTCTAGCTTTGGTGATTGATCTTATAATACTTTTGTCGGTTTTTTGTTGCTGATTTTTTTTTAGAGGTGGAGTCTCCTTATGTTGCTCAGACTGGTCTGGAACTCCTGAGCTCAAGCAATTTTCCTGCCTCTGCTTCTCAAAACAGCTGCGATTACAGGTGCAGGCTGCTGTGCCTAGCTTGTAATACACTTTTAATATCCTTTGTTTTTAAATTATATCTTCCAATTTGGGAGGCTGAGGCGGGTGGATCATTTGAGGTCAGGAGTCTGAGACCAGCCTGACCAACGTGGTGAAACCCAATCTTTACTAAAAATATAAGAATTAGCCAGGCATGGTGGCATGTGCCTGTAATCCCAGATACTCGGGAGGCTGAGGCACGAGACTCATTTGAACCCAGGAGGTGGAGGTTGCAGTGAGCCGAGATCACACCACTGCACTCCAGCCTGGGCAACAGAGAGAGACTCTGCCTCAAAAAAAACGGAACAAATCACATTCCCCAAAATAATTTAATTCATTCCATTGGAACTGTTCATGTAGGAATGCATGTGTTAAACAAGCAAACAAAAAATGTAAAGTCTCTATCATGTAAAACTCATCCCTAATTTCTACCATTAAAATAAAATTAAACGGTTAATCGACCAGGGAACTATGTGCTTCCGCCCCTTATGAATTACATGCAAGTATGCATGGAATTGGTTTCACTTAACGTTTCATATACAGAGGGAAAAACAAAAATATTCTGATGCTTAATCCAACTATATTCTCAACTGATAAAAGTTATTTTAAAATCACTCATGATTTTACAATAATTTGTAAAGCCAACAAATTTCCTTACTTGAGTTGAGTATCTTTGGGACAAAACTGTAGTCGGTCAAAATCTTTAAAAAGATAAAGAAGAATAATTACTCCTAACTTATACAGAAAAAAATTACTTATTTTCAAACAAAGTCATTCTAAGAGGCGAGACTGGCACTCACCAAGTCCACATTCTCCTATTGCCACAACTTTCCCTTTATTGTTTTCAGCAAGATTTAGCAACTCCTTTAAGTAAAGATCAGGGTTATTCTTTTCAAATTCACCACATCTTGTAGGATGACATCCAACTGTACTGAAAAACATATCTAACACAAAATAATGTCTTAGGATTATTTTCAAAGTATTTTCTCATATTTATATTTATTATGATATTTAGAGGATATCGAGTAATTTCAGCTGGTTTTCAACAATGGTAATAGATTATTCACATTATAAGAACTGCATTATGTTAATCATATGACAATTTTTAGAATATCAAAACAAAGTAGGATACGAATATGAAAATTGCTTTAACGTATTAATAAAATAATTCAGCTTTTTCTAAAGTTTGGCATTTAGGGCTGTAGAATGCAAAGTGAAAATTTTTTGTTTTTGAGACAGGGTCCCACTGTGTCAACCAGGCTGGAGTGCAGTGGTGCCATCATGGCTCACTGTAGCCCTGACCTCCTGGGCTCAAGTGATCCTCCCACTTCAGCCTCCCAAGTAACTGGGACAACACATACATGCCACCACACTTGGCTAATTTTTAAATTTTTTTTGTAGAGACAGGGTTTTGCTACGTTGCCCAAGCTGGGCTCGAAGTCCTGAGCTCAAGCGACCCACCGGCCTAGGCCTCCCAAAGTGCTGGGATTACAGGCCTGAGCCACCATGACTAGCGATGATTTATCTTTATATTCACCATTCATGTGACTATCTTGATTCATATATTTTTGTTTAACACCAATTCCTCCATTATTGATTCATGTATTTAATATAGCATAAAAATGTATTCCCTTAAAAAGGTTAATAGTGGAGGTTAAAGAGGTGGAAAGGGGAATTTGTTTTTCTAATAAAAAAATGAGGTTCACCTATTTGGAGGACACTCTGACAGTCTGACTTGTATAGAATACAAATGAGAAGTCAAAAACACTTTTTGAATGGCTTAGCTGAGTTTGAACCATGGGAAAGGTATCAAGCCTTCCTCAGGCTCTCATGCAGATGTTTAGAAACAAAGGAAGAAGCACTTTTAAGGCTATAAGAACACAAGTTACATGGAGAGGAATGGAAGAGGGCTGATAATGGAGGTGGGAGAACTTTAAAAAGTCTAGATGTTTGGGGATAAAAAGTAAGGATAAAATGTTCCTATATATCTCGAAAACTCCCTGGGAGAGATTCTCTCTTTCATCACTAAGAAAAAGTGTCAATGGGCTGGGCGAGGTGGCTCAGGCCTGTAATCCCAGCACTTTGGGAGGCCAAGCCAGGCAGATCACGAGGTCAGGAGTTGAAGACCAGCCTGACCAACATGGTGAAACCCTGTCTCTATTAAAGATGCAAAAATTAGCCAGGCGTGGTGGCGTGCACCTATAATCCCAGCTACTCAGGAGGCCGAGGCAGGAGAATCACTTGTACCCAAGAGGCAGAGGTTGCAGTGAGCCGAGATTGTGCCATTGCACTCCAGCCTGGGCGACAGAGCAACTCTGTTTCAAAAAAAAGAAAAAGTGTGAATGGATCCTAAAAGAGAAGTATGGATTTTAGAGAGATTTCCATAAAAATATAGCTTTTAGTAAGTTTTCATAAACACATCAGTATTTTAAAATACAACATTTAAAAATTATGTAGAATGTTTAATTCCTCAGTGTCTAGCACATAAGGTATGTAAAAAAAAGTTAAATTCATGAATGCCAGATAAATGAGGTTTTATGTAACTAAGATTCCTTTAATAATCTTAAAACTTTCAAGATTTTAAATAAATGCAAAATGTATGAACATAAAGCAAGCATATGAGGGGTTATATAGCATTATTATTTGCATTCTTGGTACCTTGCACAGTATCTGGTCCGTCTAGTAAAAATTTAATAAAATAATCCTTCACAGCTTAAGTTAAAAAAGAATAAATAAAAAGCAACTCGTATCTTTTTGTTTTTTGGGGGGTTTTTTGCTTGCTTGTTTTGAGATGGAGTCTTGCTCTATTGTCCAGGCTGGAGTGCAGTGGCACTATCTCCGCTTACTGCAAGCTCTGCCTCGCGGGTTCACGCCATTCTCCCACCTCAGCTGAGTAGCTGGGACTACAGGCGCCTGCCACTATTTTTTGTATTAGGCGCCCGGCTAATTTTTTGTATTTTTTAGTAGAGACGGGGTTTCACTGTGTTAGCCAGGATGGTCTCAATCTCCTGATCTGCCTGCCTCAGCCTCCCAAAGTGCTGGGATTACAGGCGTGAGCCACCGCGCCCAGCTAGCAACTCATATCTTAAACATGTTAAAACACACACATGAATTCCACATAAAAAACACCTGAGGTTAAACTGTGTACCTGGAGAACTTTATTCTCATTAGCTGAAATCTTAAAATAATCTTCATTGAGTACTATGAAACGGTTTTATAAACAGCTGATATACCAATGAGTACTTTGAATTTTGTCATCTTAATCATGTCCCACTGAAATCAGTCTATTTTCCTGTTGTTTCCACAGTCATGATCCATTGTATTGTACCTGAAGCAGTTTTCAGAAAGACTTCTTCAAAATTACTTAATTCATATTTTTTTTGGTAAAAGAAATATGAGGATACCATTTGTTTGTGCCAAATGCAGTGCATCTTTACTGTCTTGTAGATTTCCACCTGTAATCATAAACTGAAATAGAAAGAAAATAAAATAAGCTGACTTTAATAGGGCAGCAATAAGTTTCCTAAACATGCCTTCCTACCACTTCCTTATTCCAGACTGCTCTCCTCTGTGACTGTCACACACCTACCCTGTTTAAAATTCAGCTGGGAGATTGCCTCCTATGCAGAGTGGTATCTGACTACACCTCAGGGATGTGTGTATGTATGTGTGTGTACATGTGGAGGTGCAGAATTCATCACTAGATTCTGTTAAAATGTTAAAATGTATTTACATGTCTACCTTTCCTATTAGACAACAAGTTCCTTGAGGACAGAGATCAGGTATTATGAAACAGCAAATAATTCATCAGTGATTCAATAGTGTTGATTGATTCGATAATTCTCCAAGTGTAGTCTGGTAACTCCCGGTAGGTATGTGAACTCAAAACTATTTTCATAATAATAATAAGACACTTTCTGTCTTTTTCACTCTCACTCTACTGCAAGTGTCCACAACGTATACAAGAAGCTACACGATGTGTGATACCACCAGACTGACTACAGAAAAAGATATGAAAATTCAGCAGGCTTCTAGTAACACAGTCATTAGAGATTTGAAAAAACAACTGTACTCATGTTGTTAATTTTTTTGTTCTGGAATACACTTGTTTTTCATAAAAATTTGCTATTTATGTTATTCAGTAGTTTCTTGTTATTTTAAAAGGAATTAATATTCCAAATTTTTTGTTTTAATTTTTAATATAGTATATACAGTAGGTAAGACTCACACAAACAAAAGCTCTTTGGGGGTACTCACTAATAAAGAATGTGAAGGGGACTGGAGAGCAAAAGGTTTGAGAATCAGTGAGTTAATGCATGCTGATGAATTCTCTGTAGGAAAACATATGGCTTTTGGCAAATAAGCATACTTCTACATAGACCCATTAGGATCCACCCAGTAACTAGACTGCCATCTTTCCTGTTAAAATGAAAGTGTCACTAAAGAGCTTTGTGTTGGTAGTGAGAGCACTGAAGCAGTGCTGCGTAAGGGGCACATTCTTCTAAGCACATGATTCAAGCACAATGACGTATATTTTTTCATACTTCAAGAGTCTCACTAAAATGATGAACTCATTCTAGGTACAACTTAGGGAGAAAACACAAAACAAAGGTAGACCTGCAAATGATAAATAGATGTTTTCATATAGCTATTTAAATCTTTAATATGATTAGGTATTCAGTATCCGTTCAGGAAACATATAGCCATAATTAAATCCTTGACTATCTGTAAAACATAAGATATAAGGCAGGGCGCAGTGGCTCATGCCTATAATCCCAGCACTTTGGGATGCTGAGGCGGGCGGATCACCTGCGGTCAGGAGTTCAAGATCATCCTGGCCAACATGGCGAAACCCCGTCTCTACTAAAAATACAAAAATTAGCCAGGCGTGGTGGCGGGCCCCTGAAGTCCCAGCTACTTGGGAGGCCGAGGCAGGAGAATCACATGAACCTGGGAGGCAGAGGTTGCAGTGAGCCAAGATCGTGCCACTGCACTCCAGCCTGGGCAACAGAACAAGACTCTGCCTCCAGAAAAAAAAAAAAGGCATTAATAAAAATAGTGGGAAAACTTTCTTTTTGCTAACATACCTAAAACTTTAATACTAGAACAGATACCTACATCCAGTATTTAAATTATGTAAAATACTAACCAAGTCTACTTTTTATTTTATGTGTAACTTTTCTAAATAGTTGAAAAAAGGGCAAGACACGAGGGCATCATCTCCTCTCCCGGTGTATAGGATAATGATAATGATCATCTCATGGTGGCAGCTTCCAGCATACACATAACGTAGGTTGTTTATGCCAGGTATAATACCAAATGCTTTACGTTCAGTATTTTATTTAGCCTTCATAACAACTCTATTAATTAAGTACTATTATCATTCTCATTTTACAGATGAGAAAACTGAAATCTAGTGAGATAAAAGACCCCAGGTTATAAAGCTACAAAAAAATGAAGCAGGGGCTGGACACCAGGTTTGTTATGCCCTAACTATGCTTTTAACTACTATAACATAAATGCAAGGTATTGAATTAAATTTCAGTTTGGAACCATGTCCAAGTAAAAATCACTTCAGTTCCGTCATTCCTAAGTGTGTGTTTGTTGTGTGTGTGCATGTGTGTGAATAAACATTAAGATTAAATTACTCATGGCTAACACATGAAAATTTAAGAGCTTAGTATTTTGGAGTCTTCAGAAAACCATTGTTTAAAGTGATTTACCAAGCAGAATGACTCCATAATGAGAAATTAATGTAACTTCTATCTTTTCATATTATTTGTGAATAATAACAAATACAAGTTTGGAGTTGGAGACTGCAAAACTCATTTAGTCAGCAGTGTCACTTTCCAAAACATGTTATTCAACTTGGAGGCAGTAGCTATCAAGTGTCCTGACAGCATACTATGGAATTTAACCTTATTTCTTACATGTATGTGTGGGCTAGCTCTCTGTTTTAAAGCTAATTTAAAGAAATATCTATTCATTTGCTTACTAGAACTCTCTAAAAAACCGGAGACATTTTATTACTGTAAAAATTAAAGTATTATCTCCATTATTTGAAGTGGTATACCCAAACTATAAATAGCTACACTTGGTGTATTTTTGATTATTGCTTAATTCTGACAAATGCTAAATTATATTATAAAATTGATTAAAAGTTGCCTCTTTAGAAACCTGGTAATTCACATAGGTTTAAAAAATTTTTTTCAAAGAGGTTTTGCCATTTACCATATATAAGAACTATATATGAGATTTGTGTAACTTAAATTGCTATGAACAGAATATTTGGATATTTTGTTTCAATTAACTTTCTAATATCACAAGTAGACAATTTGTACTCCAAGTGTGGCACTGGCTTGTTCCCTTCTACTCTGCAAAATTTTAACTAAAATTTAGTTAAAAAATAAATTTAAAATTCTCAAGAAAAACAAAACAGATGTTACCTTTTTAACACCAATCTCGACAGCTCTCTCTATTACATCCTGTAAGTCATCTGTAAAAGATAAACTCTGCATTAAGAAAACCTGGCAGACAAAAATTTGACTTTTTTTTAGCTTTTGTGCAAATGGCTATTTGAAGTTTTATATTTGAAATTATAAACTTCTATAGGTAAAAAGACCTTAATTAAACTTCATTATAAATGTTCATGATCATGGTTTATCAATAAATGTGTTTCACTTTGTTTACAGTTTTATCCAAAATGCATAGGGAGTTCTCTCTTTTTTTTTTTTTTTTTGAGACGGAGTTTCATTCTTGTTGCCCAGGCTGGAGTACAACGGTGCAGTCTCGGCTCACTACAACCTCTACCGGCCGGGTTCAAGCAATTCTTGTGCCTCAGCCTCCCAAGTAGCTGGGATTACAGGTGCTTGCCAGCACGCCTGGCTAATTTTTTTTGTATTTTTAGTAGAGATGGGGTTTCACCATGTTGGCCAGGCTGGTCTCGAACTCCTGACCTCAGGTGATCTGCTTGCCTCGGCCTCCCAAAGCGTTGGGATTACAGGCGTGAGCCACCGCGCCCAGCCATGAGTTCTTTATTATTTCAACTTTAAGAGTGGATTATGTTGCCCAGGCTGGTCTTGAACTCCTGTGCTCGGGCAATCTTCCCGCCTTAGACTCTCAAAGTGGTGGGATTACAGGTGTGAGTCACAAGGCCCAGCTTGGATTATGCTTTTCAAGATCTCCTGAGGCAGAAAATTTGTCTTCATAGAGAAACTATTCGCCTTAATAAAGGAAATACTTACCTTGATGCTTTTGAACCCCCCTATAAATTCCTCTGAACATAGGGTCAGTCAAGTTGATACCAATATCTGTAGAAAGCAAAAATCACTGATTAATTATGGAGTCTCTAGTTGAAACTTCTACTTAAATAAAAAGCTTCTGTTACTAAACTTTTTGTTCACACACTCATCTACTCAAACAATATCCAAGTGCCTACCACTTGTCAACTACTGTGCTAGAAACATGGGATACAAAGATGAATAGGATATAATTCCTGCTTTCAAGAACCACAGGTCAATTGAAAATATTAGAAAATAAAAATAAAAATACAACAATAAACAATATATAAATAAAAGTACAGCAAGGTATAAAAACCATTTACATAGCATTTACCTCAAATTAGGTATTTTAAGTAATCTAGACATGATTTAAAGCATACATGAGGATATGCATAGGTTATAGGCAAACACCATGCCATTTTATGTAAGGGACTTGAACATCCGAGGGTTTTGGTATCTGCAGGAGGTCCTGGAACCAATCTCCTGCTGATACTGAGGGAAGACAGTGTAAGGAAGGGAGGGGTCAGAAGACGCCAGACTCAGCTACGGTACAGACACTTGTTTTTAAAATACTGGATGCAACAGGAAGCTCTGTCCTGCTGCAGAATATAAGGGAACATGGGGAACAACAAGATATGAAGTCAAACTGTGATTGATCACAGGCAAGAAGAAAAACGCCCCCGTTATTGAAAATACATATCATTTAGCTTTTAGCAGGAGAATCTCAAAATGTGCGGTGGTGGTAGGCAGCTGATTACCAACAGACTCCCTACGTTATTTCTGCGAAGTTTCAGTTTCTTGGTATGTTCTCATTTTAATTTCTGCCAAGCTGGTCCCCAGGAATGTCTGCTCCACCAATAAGACACACCTTGAAAGTGAATGGGAGTTTAGAGAATTTAAGAGATAGTGAAGAGAGTATTCCAGGCATTTGAAACAACAGGGGAAAAAGTAAAATGCAGAAAACGACAAAGGTATTTGAGTGCCAACATGTCAGCAAAGATGGGTGGGATGTGGTACCCTTTAAAAGGGCTACTAACATACAAACATCATCTAATACGATACATACTGTAGGAGTTTGGTGGAATGGCCCAATCAGGAGAATTACTATCTAGTTTTTTTAAAAGTAAGGAAAGGAAATTAGATAAAGGGGTCCGACTGAGAAAGGAAACCCAGGGAAGAGGAGAGGCCTTTCTGCCTAAAATAATCCTTCACAGAGGTTTAGTCTAGGGTCACCGATCATCACTGATCATTAGGAAAACAGAAATGGTCTGTATCGCTTCTAGACCATTTCCCCTTTGTGCAGTGTTAAGCAAACAATTATTCATAACACTCGTCAAAGACTATGAGGAAGCCTTTATTCAAGAGAGACTACTGACGGCAGGGAAGCTTTTGCGGAAGCGGGAGGGACTGGGCTCAATTTTGAATACAAGGACAAGTGAGGATTTATTGCCACCAAGTAGAATGGGGATCAACAGATGAAAAATTACTAAGAGGAAACATCAAAGGTGAGGGAAGATTCTGGGTTTACTCAACTTGACGGACTTCTGCTGAAGGCAGGCCAGAGTGATAGGATATTCTGCTTGGGGATTTGAGATTTGGGATGGGGGAAATGAAGGATGAGAAAGGTCTATAGGTCCTGGCTGAAGAGGGAAGTAGGTCCTACATCCCAGAATAGTCTCTGGGTTTATCTGGGCAGGCAGAAATGCAGGAAAACTCCTTCGAAAGTCCCTTGACCCAAGTGCAGGGAGAAGCGCTTAAAGGCCACGCAGATGTGGACAGTGGTAATCGCAGCTGACCACACACCATCCTCCCACACTTTGGCATCATCATAATCTTCCCTTTTTTATCTTTTTGAGACAGAGTCTCACTCTATCACCCAGGCTACAGTGCAGTGGCACAATCTTGGCTCACTGCAACCTCCGCCTCCCGGGTTCACGCAATTCTCCTGTCTCAGCCTCCCAAGTAGCTGGGATTATAGGCGCCCACCACCACACCCAGCTAATTTTTTGTATTTTTAGTAGAGACGGGGTTTCACCATGTTGGACAGGCTGGTCTCAAACTCCTGACCTCAGGAGCTCCCCCTGCCTTGGCCTCCCAAAATGCTGGGATTACAGGCGTGAGGCACTGTGCCCGGCCAGTCTTGATAAATTCTTGTAGCCTCGCACTGCTGGCCCAGATAGTCACAGCTCACCCGCAACAAATAAGTGAGTCTTTCTGAGCCTCCGTTTTCTCACTAGTAGGATGGACATAAACTTTTTCCTTCCTGCAACAAAATGTGGCTCAAATCCAAAAACGAATATGAACGCATTTTGCAAATTAAAACTCCTATTAACATGTAATTATTGGGAACAGTGTTATTACAAACACTGTAACATGCCAACAACAAATGGAATTTGAATCAGCTTTAGCCATACTGCCATACCACCTTAAGTGGTTAAGGCACCTGATCCAAGAATGCATTATCAAATAGCCAAATGTGAGTCAGTATGTTTTGAACATTAAGACTCATGATGTAATCACGAAAATAAAGCCACTCAAAATCCTATTTATTTAACTTGTTCAAAGCGTTCTTATCTATGTTAAGGGACAGTGAGAACAAAAACCATGTATCTGAGAAATGCAAGCACCTTTAAATTATCAGGCCCAGAAAGGCATTTAAAATGTTCACAGCAGTCCATGCTCACTCCCCTTTGAGCTAAGTAACTACTTCTTGAAGCCAATTGCTATGTGGGCTCTAGACTGAAGCCAAGTGGCCGTAAAATGCCATACACCCTATAGTTCAATACACTAACATACATAGCCAATCACCAACCAATGTTATTTCTGTAAACCAATGAGAATCCCTGATTAACAACTTTTGTAACCGCGCCCCCCTCCCTTTTGATTTGTCCTTTAAAAACTTGAGCCTCTCTTTTGTTCTCTGGAGCAGTCCCCAAGGCAACTTGGAAGTGTGTCCTGGGCTGCAGTCCTCAACTGTTGTGCTTGAATAAACTCTGTAAACTAGATTCTGACCTTTTTGGTTATTTGAGGTTAACAATAGTATATTTTATATTAAAAGTCTCTGGCTGGGGTGGTAGCCCACGCCTGTAATCCCAGCACTTCAGGAGGCTGAGGTGGGCGGATTACGAGGTCAGGAGATCGAGACCATCCTAGCTAACACAGTGAAAACCCGTGTCTACTAAAGAATACAAAAAATTAGCCGGGCGTAGTGGCGAGCGCCTATAGTCCCAGCTACTCGGGAGGCTGAGGCAGGAGAATGGCGTGAACCCAGGAGG